CATTGTTGATTGAGAGAGTGACGTTCGTCTTTAAAGTAATGTTAAGTTGATGTCTATATGAGTCGGCTATTAAAGTGGAACTAAAGGCTTAACACTCACCTATCCCATGGTCCTGCGCCGTTGCCGACATATTCTGAGTGCCAGTCTTCGAGCCTCCTTATTGGCCAGTGGGGTATGGCATCACTCCTGCGCAGAAGGCTGTCATCCTGTCACTCAGTTTACAGCACTGGAGAAGATAGCATACAGACAGATAGGGGGATTATATTTCAGAAGAGGCAGTGCAGCTTATAAAGACGCAGAGTGTTACTGAGCTACCTGCGTTTTTGATAGTGGAACATTGTAGGACAGCTAGTCTCATATTGTATCAACACTATGTTCTGCTCTGCATCCTGCACTCAGGGACACAGCAAGGGGCAGCAAGCACACCTCTGGCTGTCGCATTCAGCTTGCAGGGACAGTGCTCACACAGCCTACCTCTCCAGCTGGTCAGAGAGTATTCCTGATCTCAGATTTCACATTAATGTCTAGTGCTAAGCGGAAGGGTGGTTATTCTACAGTTAAAGATGACCCACCAACTAAGGACCCTATTTGCCTATGTGCAAAGTTGCCTTTAGCACATGGAGGAAATGCATCTTCTGCACTTCTCTGACCCCTCTTTTTTCATCTGTTTACATTCCGAAACCAATGCGTTTCAGCTTGTTTAGACATTCACTATGTTTTAATGTAATTTTTATAGCATTGCTATGTCCTGACATTGTCAGTACTGTAGAATATGTATAAAGCAGTAAAGATAATAATTTTACTCTGCACCTTTATTTTCCAGTAAGCTTTTAGGAGGTGGAATTGAAAGTATGGCAATAACAGAGACCTTTGGAGGTAATTATTCAAAATGTAACTGTATATAAGAATTAACACTGAAATAAAGCATAAGTTCACCTTTTGTAACTTGGTTACATGTTACACCCATATTCAGGGTGTAACATGTAACATTAGTGGCTGTCAGCTTGTAGTCGTCAGTGAACTACCACGGCACTGTGGTAGTTCATTCATTCTTCCTATCAGTATATCTGCTTGCTCGTACATCCCGTACGGGCAAGCATATATACTGACAGATCTGCAGGAGACCTGCATGGCATCAGTGATCTGCTGATCGCTGATGCAAAGCTTTCCAGGCTCTTGCAGCCAAAAATAATAAATGCACAGTTTTTTACCTGCAAAAAATTGTGCATTTATTATATTTTTCTAAAAGGGTGAACTTATCCTGGCAGTAGGATGATAAGACATTGTCTTAGGCTGCATTTTGAGCTTTGCCATTTTAAGAAGCTGGCACAGTTGCCTTCTCAAGCAGGATAAGTCATCAGTTGTTAAGGAGCTAGGACATGCTGGCTTCTAACAACGATGAGTCATCCCTGCTGTCAGTGGGTATTCTCTGCTGACAGCAGAATGGAAATAACAAGGCTGGTATTTAAAAAAAAAATAGGGCCCCTTATTCCATACCAGGCCTTTCGGAGTGGTAGGGATTTTAGGGAGGACCCCACACCAAAAAAAATGCCCCCCCCCCAAAAAAAAAAATACCATACCAGACCCTTATCCAAGCATGCAGCCTGGCTGGCTAGAAAAGAGGGAGTGATGAGCCCCCCCCCCCCTCAACATGGTAGAAGCACTTTGCTGGGGTAAAGCACTGCCCTGACAGCCCTCCCAGCAAATCACCTCATCCCCATGTTGATGAGGACAAAGGCCTCTTCCCCATAACACTGGCACAGTGGTTATGGGAGTGTGGGAGTAGCTTATCAGAATCTGGAAGCCCCTTTTAAGTAGGGGGCCCAAGATCCTAGCCCCCCTATGTGAATGAGTATGGGGTACATACCCCTAATCATTCACCAAAAAAATCAAAAGTAAACAAAAATACGAAAAAAATGTACCCCGTAGAGTCTCATAGCTGGGGGGGTCCCTTATACTATTTTTTTTCAGTGCCGGCTCTTTTGTTTACAGTCTGCTTTCAGAGGGGAATCCATTAATCCAAAAGTACCTTCAAAACATTTTTGGGCTTCAGGCGACTTGGAGAGGATATGTAAACCATTTCCATAGAGAACAATTGATTTTTTTTTTCTCATTTTTATCAGATTAACCACTTGCCGCCCTGCCACTGTAGAAATATGGCGGCAGGGCGGCACTGGCAGGCAAAACCACGGTTTAAAATGCGCCCTATCTGTCCCGCCGATCACCGCCGCGGATGTCAGTCGCCGGGTCACAGCCGGTCTTTACCGGCTGTTTCCTGGCGATCGGCGGCAAACAGGGACAGACAGCACAGCTGCAGTAGCTGTGCTGTCTGTCACTTCCCTGGCAGCTCGAGGACGAGCTGATCGAGAAAGAAGAGTTTCTCTCTCTCGATCAGCCTTGTCCCGTCCAGCACACCCCCGCCCCCTAGTAAAACACTCCCCTCACTTAGATAACCCTTCCCTGCAAAATAAAGTTAAGCCCTTCCTCCCCAGTGCCATTAGTACAGTGTCAGTGGGTTTTTTTTTGCACTGATCACTGTATTAGTGTTTTTGGGGATGTCAGTGACCCCAAGTCAGTACCCCCCAATGTCAGAATGTCCGCCGCAGTCCCGCCATAAGTCACTGATCGCCGCCATAATTCGCTGATCGCCGCCATTATTAGTATAAAAAAAAAAACTAAAAATCCCAGTATCTTTCCCGCCATTTGTAAACGCTATAACTTTCACGTAAACCAATTAATTTACACGTATTGGGTTTTTTTTTAGCAAAGACATGTCACAGAATGCATTTTGGCAGAAATTTATGACTAAATTTGATTTTTGCATTTTTTTTTTACTGGACATGTTTTATAGCAAAAAGTCCAAAATATTGTTTTTTTTTCCTCAAAATTGTCAGCCTTTTTTTTATAGCGCAAAAAATAACCGCACAGGCAATCAAATACCACCAAAAGAAAGCTCAATTTGTGGGGAAAAAAGGATGTAAATTTCATTTATGTACCATATTGCATGACCGCGCAATTGGCCGTTAAACTAGCACAGTGCTGTATAACAGAAAAATGGCGTAAATTGCAGTATTTATACCATAGTTTGTAGACGCTATAACTTCCACACAAAGCAATCAATATACACTCATTGGGATTTTTTTTACCAAAAACATGTAGCAGAATACATTTTGGCCTAAATTTATAACCAACTTTGAGTTTACTATATATCTTTTATAGCTGAAAGTAAAAAATATTGTTTTTCTTCAAAATTTTTGGCTTTTTTTTGTTTATAGCGTGAAAAATAAAAAGCGCACAGGTGATCAAATTACACCGAAAGAAAGCTCTATTTCTGTGAAAAAAAGGACGTAAATTTAGTTTGGGTGCAGCATTGCATGACCGCGCAATTATCAGTTGAATTAGTGCAGCGCCGAGTAGCAAAAAGAGGCCTGGGCATTAAGGGGGGTAAATCCTCTGGAGCTCAAGTGGTTAAAGCAGAGGTCCAGCCAAAATTTAAAAAAAAAAAAAAAAAAAAATCAGCATCTGCAGAAACTGTAGCTGCTGACTTTTAAAAAACAGACACTCACCTGTTTCTCGATCCCACAGTGTCCTCACACCGGCTGGGTTCATCGGCTGTCCTGTGTTCCTGGCGCTGGCATCTTCAGTGTGGGCACCCAGCTGTGACAGCTTGCGGCTTCACAGTGGGGTGCCCTTTGTGAATGGTCCTACCATGTGTCCCAGAAAACTACGGGGAGGGAGTGGGGGAGGACAGCTTCCACTTCCGATCGCCTGGTGTTCGCAGTGGAAGTAGGAGCAGGTACCTGTCAAATTTGTGTACACCCCTGCTACCCAAAGATCCCTTTTGGATGGAGCTCCGCTTTAATAACAAAAACCAAAGCAGTTAACTCAATTAACATGATCAATGTAAATTATGGGATCTGTGTAACTACATCTAAAAATGAACAGCAAAAGAGAACATAAAAAAATATGTTTAGGAATGTCAAATCAGATATTTACAATGAAATTTTAGAATTTTCCTTTAGAATTCTTTGATTTTTAGATTTTGTTATGATTATGAACAGGATGTACAGGTCATCTACCAAACAACATGTTCATGCACATATTTTTCCTAATATTTAGAATTCAGAACTGGAAAAACCCAGCTGTCTCACACACTTTGTGGTACGTATATTATTCTACACTTATAGTTTCTAACATTAAATGTTTAGTGGTTTTAATCTCACCCCTAAATTAAAGTGGATTCTGCAGTCTGCAACAATCAATCCCTGAACGCCTCCCCTCTCTCCTATCCTCAGTTTTCAGGAAGGATAATCACCAGAAAAGGTAAAAATACTTACCTTAGGCCAGTGATGGCGAACCCGTGGCACGCGTGCCACAGCCGGCACGCCGAGCCTTATCTGTGGGCACGCCAGGAGAATACCGTATTTTTCGCTCCATAAGACGCACTTTTTTTCCCCCAAAAAAGGGGGGAAAATGTCAGTGCGTCTTATGGAGCGAATATAGAGCGGCCGGTCCGGTATTTCCACCGCCGCCGTGTCAGAATACCGGGCCGGCCGCTCAGCTCTGCAGTGGGACCGTACCTGTCCCTCTATCCAGCGGCGCGCTGTCTTCCCGGCTTCTGTAGTGTGCGTGACAGCCGGGTCCCAAGTGCGCATGCGCAAGAAGCAGTGCTCTTTGTGAATGGTAAGGCAGTACCTGGGACACATGACAGATCCCAGAAGCCACCGGACCAATCACAAAGCGCAGTGCTTCTCGCGCATGCGCACTGGGCGCCCACACTACAGAAGCCGGGAAGACAGCGCGCGGCTGGATAAAGGAACAGGTAAGATAAAAAAAAAACTCTGCGGAAGTAAGAGCGGGTACCTGTCAAATTCAGGTACCCGCTCCCCCTCCCTCCCCAAAGGTCAGCAGTCATCTGTACTGTCCGCAGTCTCTGGTCATCCCTGTGCTTTCCGCAGTCTCTGGTCATCTCCTGTACTGTCCGCAGTCTCTGGTCATCCCTGTACTGTCCGCAGTCTCTGGTCATCCCTGTACTGTGTCTGCAGTCTCTGGGCATCCCTGTACTGTCCGCAGTCTCTGGTCATCCCCTGTACTGTCCGCAGTCTCTGGTCATCTCCTGTACTGTGTCTGCAGTCTCTGGTCATCTCCTGTACTGTGTCTGCAGTCTCTGGTCATCCCTGTACCGTGTCCGCAGTCTCTGGTCATCTCCTGTACTATGTCCGCAGTCTCTGGTCATCTCCTGTACTGTGTCCGCAGTCTCTGGTCATCCCTGTACTGTGTCCGCAGTCTCTGGTCATCCCTGTACTGTGTCCGCAGTCTCTGGTCATCCCCTGTACTGTGTCTGCAGTCTCTGGTCATCCCTGTACTGTGTCTGCAGTCTCTGGTCATCCCTGTACTGTGTCCGCAGTCTCTGGTCATCCCTGTACTGTCCGCAGTCTCTGGTCATCCCTGTACTGTTAATTAGTTTGCACTACTGTATGAGTTGTTTTTTTTTTCTAAACCAAAAGCTCGATATTCAGGTTTCATTGCAGTGTTGGCACTTTGAAAGAAATAAGTTGGTTTTGGGTTGCAGTTTGGGCACTCGGGCTCAAAAAGGTTCGCCATCACTGCCTTAGGCCCTGGCAACTGGCTTGTTCACCCTAGAGGAGAGTGACCTCAAATGGCCTTTTCACAGGATCCTTGGAAAGGATCCCATGCTGATGTACTTCTTGACAAAAGGCACAAAATGACATTTTTGTTGTTTGGGCAAAAAGAGTGAAAACTTGGGTCTAAGGTTTTTTTTTTTCTTGTCTAAATTTTTTTAAGGTCTTGTGATTTAGAAGTAGGGGTGGGGTCCACATCTAGGTATTAGTTACTATGAACTGCAAAGTCCACTTTAATTTATTAATGAGGTTAATCACTTCACAATTAAATGTAAAATAAATCTTATTGCCTGAACCCAGTTTTGCAACTTTGGCATGTGCAGGGGTGGACTGACCATTCGGTCACTCGGGCACTGCCCGAGGGCCCTATGGTCAGTTGGGGTCCTATTATTATTATTATACAGTATTTATAAAGCGCCAATAGTTCGCTTAGCGCTGTACATTACAAAGGGGGACAGAACATGTGACAGAACAATAACAATACAATACAAAACATGAGGGGATTGAGGGCCCTGCTCTTTCGAGCTTACAATCTAGGAGGGAGGGGATGGTGGCACAGGAGGAGATAGCTGTGGGGGATAGAGTGGTAGGAAGAGTGGAGGAGGTCGGCAAGTTAGCAGGGGGCGGGGTAGGCTTCCCTGAAGAGATGGGTTTTCAGGGTGCGCCTAAAGGAGAGGAGAGTAGGTGATAATCTGATGGGTTGGGGCAGGGAGTTCCAGAGGATGGGTGACACCCTGGAGAAGTCCTGGAGGCAGGCATGGGAGGAGGAGACCAGGGACTAGAAAGGCTCCACACATTTCACTCAGTGGCAGTATCTTTATGTCTGTCTGAATAATGTGTCTGCCTGAAACCAGGACACGTTATTCAGACAGGAATGTGGCTCAGAGCGGGGAGTCCGAGATAGGAGCAGATAAGGAGTCGGGAGTGACAGTGAGGAGAGCCAGGGAGGAGACTGCAGCAGCTGAAGCCCCCCGATTCAGGAAGTAGCTCATATTAGGTGAATAGACACTGACTCCTTCACCACTGAGTCTCTCCCTCTCTCTCCCTCTCACTCACTCTCACCCTCCCTCTTTCTCTCTCACCCTCTCTGTCCCCCTTTCTCTCACCCTCTCTCTCTCCCATCCTCTCTTTCTCGCTCTCTCTCTCTCACCCCCCCCCTCTCCCTCCCGCTCTCCCCCCTCTCACCCACATTCTCTCTTTCTCTCACCCTCTCTCTCTGTCACCCTCTCTCTCTCACCCTCCCACACCCCTCTCTCTCTCTCTCTCTCTCTCTCTCTCCTCTCGCACCCCTCACTATGTCACCCTCTCTTTCTCATCCACCCTCTCTCCCCTCCCGAACCCCACCCTCTTCTCTCCCTCCTTCCATCTCTCCCTCACACCCCTCTCTCTCTCACCCTCTGTCTCCCCCCCTCCCCTCCTTCTCTCTCTCCCTCCCCTCCCTCTCTCTCCCCCTCCCCCCCCTCCCTCTCTCTCCTCCCCCCCTCCCTCTCTCTCAACCCCCCCCCTCTCTTTCACCCCTGTTTCTCACCCTCTCTCACCCCCTCTTTCCCCCACCTCACCTCACTCTCACCCACTCTCTCTCTGATCCCCCCCCCACCCCCCCCCCCCTCTCACTCCCCCCCCATTCCCCTCTCTCTCCCCCCCCCCCTCTCCCTCTCTCACCCCCCCCCCCCCCCCCCTCTCTCTCTCCCCCCCTCTCTTTCCCCCTCCCCTCTTCTGCCCTCCCCCCCTCTCTCCCCTCTCTCTTCCTCCCTCTCTCTCCCTACCCCCCCCTTCTCACCCCTCTCTTTCTTTCTTTCTTTCTCCCCCCCCTCTCTCTCCCCCCCCCTCTCTCTCTCCCTCCCCCCCCCCCTCTTCTCCCTCTCCCCCCCCCATTTCTCTCTCTCTTTCCCTCTCTTTTCCCTATCTCTCTTCTCTCTCTTCCTCTCTCTCTTCCCCTCTCTTCCCCCTCTCTTCTCTCCTCTTCTTCTCTTATCTCTTTTCCCTCCTCTCCCTCCCCCTCTCTCTCTTCCCTCCCTCTCCCTCTCCTCCATCCTCTCTCTCTCCCCCCCCCCTCTCCCCCCACACCCCCTCCCCCCCCCTTCTCTCACCCCTCTCTTTCTCTCACCCTCTCTCTCCTTCTCTCACCCTCTCTCTCTCTCTCTCTCTCTCTCTCCCCCCCCCCCTTTTATCCCCCTCTCTCACTCTCTCACCCCCCCCCACCCCTCCCCACCCCCCCCCTCCCTCTCCTCCTCTCTCTCTCACCCTGTCCCTCTCTCACCTCCTCCCTCTTTCTCATCTCTGCCCCCCTCTTTCTTTCACCTGCTCTCTCATCCCCTCTCTCTTTCTCACCCACCCTCAACTTCTCTCCTTCTCTACCTCCTTCTCTGTCTCTCTCTCTCTCTCTCTCTCTCCTGCCCTCCCTCCTCTCTCTCTCTTCCACCCTCACACCCTAGGCAACACAAAACTTTTGCGCCCCCCTCCGCAATGAGAGAGCGAGAGAGTTCAATAAGTGTGTGTATGTATATATGATTCTCTCTCTCCTTTTCTTTTTCTTCTCTCTCTCTTTCCCCCTCTCTCTCTCCCTCCCTCCCCCTTCTCTCTTTCTCCCTCTCTCTCTCTCTCTCTCTCTCTCTCTCTTCTCCCCCTCCTCTCTCTCACCCCCTCTCTCTTCCCCCCACTCTCTTCCCCCTCTCTCTATCTCTTCCCTCTCTCTCTCTTCCTTTCTCTCTTTTTCTCTTCCCTTTCTCTCTCCTCTCTCTTCATCCCCCCTCTCTCTTTCCCTCCCCCTCCCCACACTATCTCTCTTCCCCTTTCCCTCCCCCTTCTCTCTCTCTCATTTCTCTCCCCCCTCTCTCATTTCTCTCTCTCTCCCCCCTCCTCTCTCCCCCCCTCTCTCTCTTTCCATTCTCTCTCTCTTTCTCCCTCCCTTTCTCTCTCTTCACTCTCTTCCCTCGCCCCCCCCCCCCTCTTCCTCAGATTGTATGGGACCACCCCGCCCCTCCTCTCCAAGGGCTGCTGATCTCCGGGCAGCAGGAGGGGGGGGGGGGGTGGAGGTGTGTGCAGTCCTATACGATCTGTCAGTGTGCAATGTACTAGATGGATGTCAAGAGGGAGAGCCGACAAAGGACAACACAGCTCACCTCCTCCGGGTTCTTTCATCTCCGACACTTTTCTCCCTTCTCCAGGCTGTCCCCTGGTCCTGGCTTGTCAGATTCTGGAGGGAGAGGTACACAACCGTCGCTCTGCAACTGCCCACCCCCACGCCCCACCATATTGATCTTCCTGCTGTCCACTGCTGCTCAAAAGGTCCCTTCTTCTGGGGGGCGGTGCCGCCCTCATAAAAATTGCCGCCCTAGGCAAACGCATTCTTTGCCTCACAGTAGATACGCTCCTAATCACCCCCTCTCTCTCACCCCCCTCTCTCTCTCATCCCCTCCCTCTCACCATCTCCCTCTCTCTCCCTCTCTCACCCCCCTCTCTCTCCCCCTCATCCCCCTCTCTCTCACCCCCCTCTCTCTCACCCACTACCTCTGTCTCTTACCTTCTCTCTTACTCACTCCCTTTCTTTCTATCTCACCCTCCCTCTCTCTCTCAACCTCCCCCTTCTCACCTTCCTCTCCCCCCACCTTCTCTTCCCTTCCTACATCTCTCTCCTACTTTTCCATCTCTCTCTCTCTCTCTCTTTTCTTCTGTCTCTATCTCACTACCCCCCTCTTCCCTCTTAGTTTCTAACAGGAGTTTATGTCATATTACAGTAAAAAAATGCACTCAGAAGATTTTCCATGGTCTGTCAGAAAAAAAAGGGTTGTGGGGGGTTGGCACACCTGTTAGGAAAGAGTCTGAGTGGGAGCTGAACAACCACACAAGGCAATTAACCTCTCAGTCATCGAGCATTTTTACTGTACAATGTAACCACCAGGCGTTGCCTACAGCCCCCGAAAGCCACATCCATTTTTGTGCACACTGCACTTCTTTCTGTGCTGTCAGGGCCCAAATTATGATCTTGCACACAGGCCCATTGCTTTCATAAATTGCCCCTGGTTGCGTCATAAAGATGACTGACATGCCATAGCCATCTTAACCACTTGCTGACCTCAGATAGCCGAATGACAGCTTTACTGCGGCTGGCCAGCTCTGCGAGGGCATCATTTGGCATCCTCCCAGAACGTGATCTCCTTCCCCCCCTTCCCGACGATCTTCGTGATTGCTGTGTCCTACGGACACAGCTGATCGTGTGCTATGGTAAAAGGCCAATCACAGCAGCCTTTTACCACGTGATCAGCCGTGTCCAATGACACACTGATCATCGGGAAATGCAATTGCCGGTTATCGGCTGTACTTTCGTCTGTAGAGGGATTGGCACCGATCATCAGGACATGGATGATCAGTGTCCTGATGATTGATGCCCAGCAGTGCCGCCCACAAGTGCCCAGCAGTGCCTCCCACAAGTGCCCAGCAGTGCCTCCCACAAGTGCCAGTGCCACCCACCTGTGCCCACCAGTGGCACCCACCAGTGCCACCCAGCAGTGCCGCCAGTCAGTGCCGCCTATCAGTGCCCATCAGTGCTGCCTATCAGTGCCACCTCATCAGTACTGCCTATCAATGCTGCCTATCAGTGCCCATCAGTGCAGCCTCATCAATGCACATCAGTGAAGGAGAAAAATTACTTGTTTGCAAAAATTTATAACAGAAACAAAGAAAAACTTTTTTATTTTTCAGATTTTGTGCTCTTTTTTTTTTTTGTTTATAGCGCAAAAAATAAAAATACCCAGCGGCGAGTAAATACCACCGAAAAGAAAGCTCTATTTGTGTGAAAAAATGGTAAAAAAAATT